ATGACAAGACCATGAGAATTTAGATACTCTAAGTAAGCACTGTGCTTTCTACTACCAAATGTAGACAGAGTACCTCTTATAATCTGATTCCGGCCTCTAATTAAAAGAGGGTTTACTCCATTTCCAAAGCATAAACTTTGGCTTTTTATAGCCTAAGCAGTGTGCTATTTTAAACATGTGGAGGAAATGCATTTTCAGTTACAAACATTGCTCCTCTGAATCTGCTCTTATTTGTTAGCAAAAGATGTGGGACAGGATGTTTTGCTCTCCTGTCCTGGTTTTCCTGTATTACTTAAGTCTGTTTAGAGAAAAGGAAAATAAACAAATAAAGTGTTTCTGCTACACAATTTCTACAAATTAAAGCAACTCCCAAAGTGGAAAAAAAGTCTCTGGAAAGAATATTTTACTACATTAATTTTCTTATGATATATTAGCTTACTCTTGTCAATTCTTCACTTGAAAAGGCTTTCCATCCCCCGCATGTGGGTTCTGCAACAGATCCTAATGTTTACACTGATAAAATGAGTCCACTTTGACACACCAGAACAGCTCAATTCCTCTGGGCCCTGCTTCTTCCAAAGCCTGATCATAACGATAGAAGCTTCTTGAGATGCACCAGCCTTGAAGGTCATTCTGCATTTATCAGAAATTCAAGGCATGTAAGTAAATATAAAAACGATAAAAGAAAAATAAATAAAGAAAAATGAAAGAAAAAAAATTCAAGGCATACTGTATCACAATTAAACATGTCCATTTCCATGGACAACTGTGAGGACTTTTACTCAGGTACATGGCAGCCAAATCCTTGCAATCTGTTCTGTTCCATTATGGCTTTTAAGGACATTGATTTTGATCAAATTTCACATTACCACTTTTACAAGGGAATCAGCAGTTTGTTAATCTGAAAAATCTGGTGGAGTGGCTCAAGTGGTAGAGCAAGTGCAAAGCCCTGAGTTCAAACCCTTATCCCACCCAAAAAGAAATTAAAAGAAAGAGAAATAACTGAAAAATATTTCACTGAAATAGCTCTGAGTTGACTCTCCACATCCCCCTCTACCCCTTCTCCCTGCTGTTCTTGCTGCAAAAGCTGCCATGTCTGTACAATCTGAGGAAGTCTCTCTTCTTAACCATGCTTTAGTCAGACCCCTCTCAGCCCTACACTTGACAAAGCCTTGACACTGACCCTTGTCCTTGCCGAGCCTGCATAGCCCACTTTTAGCAGGAAACCTGCAAAGTCAGTTTAAAGAGAATGCCTATGTTGAAATCCAATCACCCTAACCTGCCCTCAGAAGGTACTGTAAAGTTTGTCTAGCAAGAATCCTCTTTCCCTTGATGTTTTCTCTTAGTAATCTACCATCCACTGAACCCTCTCCTCTTTGCTAAACCCCCAGCAGTCTTTGCCTCTATCAGAATTGAGCTCTTTTACCCAGAGAGACATCTATGTCATAGTAGTCCTGAATAAAGTCTTCCTGATCATTTTAACAAGTGTCAGAATAAATTTTTCTTTACAAGCTTCTATGAGTAATGGAATGCTGGAGAAAGGACTGGAAGTATGGCTCAAGCAGAAGAATACCTGCTTTGGAAGCATGAGACCCCTGAGTTCAAACCACAGTACCACCAAAACAAACAAACAAAAAAAAACAGAAAGAAAAAAAGAAGAGGCTGGAGAAAGGGAAGATAGAGAAATATGGGCATTTATTCTCATGCTGGGTGGTCCATTTCACATAGTCCTGTCATTCAGTGCTATCAACTGCTGCCCTCTTGTCCCGTCAGGCCTAGGGGTAGTGATGGAGTCTCATTAATGCTGGCCTCAGGGACACTACACTGTTCCTATCCCCATGATTTTTCCATTTCTTTGTGAGTTATTAAACTTTCCTCAAAATATAATTTGTGGATGCCACCTGTTTCCTGCTGGGTCTCCCTAATATAGACATCATCTCAGCAGATCTCTTGTTGTAAAAAGGTAGGCATGGGTATAGAAAGCGGAGAGAGAGTTCCATGTGAGTGATTCAGTGATTTATACAAGCTGACTGTTAAGCTGCCACTTCTCCTTCCTCTAGTTATTTTCACAATTATAGTAACAGATGGTATTTTCTGAAACATGTATTTTCCAAGCAGAATTTCAAAACATCAACAGGGATTACTTTAAGAAATTACCAAGGAAGCCAGAAGTAACAACAATGCTAGCTGAAACTAACTATGGTAGAAACCTAAGATAGAGGTTTTTTTTTTTTTTTTGCAACTGAGTATAATGGTGCATATCTGTAATCCCAGAACTTGAAAGGCAGAGGCAGGAGGATAGCAACTTTGAGGCCTATCTGGGCAACATAGTGAAATTCTGTCTCAAACCCTCCCCCTGTCTGTCACCTCCAGAAGAATTTCTTGTTTGCTTTTTTTAACTTTCAATGGGACTGGGGTTTGAATTCAGGACTTCCCACTTGCAAAGCACACCTCTAGTCCATTTTGCTCTGGTTATTTTGGAGATGGGGTCTCTTGAACTATTTGCCCAGGCTACCTTTGAACAAAGATCTATCTGATCTCAGCCTCCAAAGTAGGTAGGATTACAGACATGAATCACCAATGCACAGCTCCACAGCAATACTTTTAATAAATCCAGGAAAGAAAACTGGTGAGCAATATGAGATACAAGTCCAGTAACCCATGTTAAAAGCCCATTAAAAGTTAACTCTCTATGTAATCTACAGAATTAAGTATCAAATGCAGGTCATAGTACATTGTAAAATCAATTCAGTGGGTTATGACATTTTAAAAATACCACACATAATAATATAAAAGAGAAAATCAGAGTGAATTATATGTCCTAAGGGTAAATATCAATTCATCAAGCTGGGTATGGTGATACATGCCTGTAGTCCCAGCTACCCAGGAAGCTGAAGCAGAAATAACACTTGAGCCCAGGAGTTTGAATCCAGCCTAAGCAACACAGTGAGACCCTATCTCAAAAAAATAAATAAAAGGGGAAGGAAAGGCTGGGGGTGTAACTCAGTGGTAGAGTACTTTCCTAGCATGTGTGAGGCTCTTCTAGGTTCCATCCCCAATGCAGCAAAGAAAAAACAAAATAATCTCACCACACAGCTAAATCTCTTTTTCATGTACCATTTTCATGGGTGTAACAGGACATAATGTAGAATATAATCCTTACTATGGGTGACAGTCAAGAAAGTCTGAAGAGAACCTCTTTGAAACAATACAATGAACATAAGGTTAAAAACATGTTGCTTCAGCCTATAGATTTACATTTTTTATGTCAACCTCACTAAAAGGTTGTCACCCAATATAATCACATCAATAACTAAAGTGAAAATCTTCTAAAGCAGCATTTATTCTTACTGTATGCAACGTTGCACTATATTAAGTGAGGATTACAAACCACAGCTTGGGACAGTACTGGCCTGGAGTATGAACGGGGCCAGTCTAGAGAATTCTGTTCACATTTCCATGAACTCCTACTCCTCTACAGCAACCTTCACCCATTTTTTTCACCTGCTTCTGAGGTTTCTGTGCAATTACTGAGGGACTTGTGTCACCTGGGAGGCCCAGTGGGAAAGAAGTACCATCATCCAGATAAGGATGACATAGCAATGTGGGGAAGTAGCCCCACATTTCCTCACATTTATCACCAAAGCACATGCTGAGAACATTTTATTGCAGTCGCCTGCAGTTGCCCTGAGGACTGACAGCAGGGGAACCTGTGGAAGCAGCTCTGAGCCAGTATCAGGCCAGAGCTGGAGGGAAAACATCCTAGCCTCCTTGTCCCTGTCTCTCTTCACAGTCTGTCCAAGTTCCCATCAGGACTAAGTGCCAGCAACCAAGAGCAGTAACCTTCTTGACAACTACTTACTGCTGCCTTCTCCCTTTCCCCTCCCTTGTGGGCCTTCCTGGAACCACCTCTCACATAAATGACTGCATTCAAACCTTTGTCTCAGGGTCTGCTTCTAGGTAAATGCATTCTACAAGAGTATATCAGTGATACAGTGTTGTTTGGAGCCAGGGCTGCAAAGATGAGAAAAGCCTGCCCTAGAAACGCTCACAATAAGGACTTTTTTTCAAAGTAAAGAAACAAAACTTTACTATTCATGGCAAAGTATGTTTGAGGACAGAAGGAAGAGGCAACAATCTTTAACTGAAGGGTCAGAAAAGCCAGTTTAGGAGACTGATCAAAGACCTCCCTGTATGAGTCAACGAGTGGTCAGGGCTACTGATGGGATATGGTCTATGTAGCTGTATGGACTACAACCTTAGGCTTCTCTTATTCACTGTAAGGCTTTACTTCTTCCATAAAGGTTAAGAAGAGAGAAATTTTTACTTCTTCCAAAGAAAAAGAATTCTCATCTTCAGCTAAAAATAACTAAGTAATACAGAAACCACACAGGGAGAAAACTATTAAATTTCTGACAATATGTTAGAGAACTATTTGTAAACCACCACTGACTTTTTTCTTTGAGATGAGATCTTGCTGTGTTGCCCGGTTTGGCCTTGAAATCCAGGGTTCAAGTAATCCTCCTGCCTCAGCTTCCTGAGTAGTTGTGACTACAGCTGTGCACTACAGTGCCTGGCTTGACTTATTTATGTTCCCTCTGAGGTCATGGAAATGGGATTAAGAAATATTCAACTCAATCTTCATTAAAAGTTCTGACTGATGGGGCTGCAGCTCAGCATTTACTTGCCTGGCATTTATGATGCCCTGGGTTTGATGCCCAGTACCGCAAAAAAAAAAAAAAAAGAACTGATGATATTGTCATTCAAAAATTATTATTTTTAGATGTAAAATTTAAATTCAGCTTTGTGATCAGCTATAAATCAGGCCTTCTTTCAGGCTGGAACTAAGTGAGCAATCTAGAACTAATTTCATTTTCATCTTCCATCTTGGTAAACACTTCAGCAAAGGCACAGCAGCAGTATAGCTAAGCCCTCCTCTCAGGGAAGCAGTCATGAGAGCTTGCACTGAAAATGGCTTGAGAGAGACTGGCATTACTCACCCTGGCCCAGCAGGGAGTGGTGGCACAGCTGAGGGGGCGTTCGCCTGTGGCCTTTCTTTCTCATCTTGCCTGAGGAAGGATTTGGCTTCTCTAGATGTAGCGTCCACTTCCTTAGTCACCCTGCTCCAAAGAGAGACATCAAATTTACAAACCCTAGGGAGAGGGAACAAATGAAACTAGGAACATATTCACCACTGGGCTTTCAATAAATTCTGCTGCTGAGTTTTATGATTAAAGTTTACAATAACAATAGCAAAGACATTTTCCCCAATATTGACAAATGAAACAACAATGGATGTAAATTTTATCGCCCTAAAATCTCCTCCATTCTGTCAGGATGAGGCACTGACTCTCTGCCCACTGTGGATTACTGATGTGAAAGCAGAAAAAGGCCCTCGAACTGTTCCTCACAGACAGATTAGTCCTCAGACTCAAAGGTCCAGTGACAGTTGACATGAGGAGATGGAATATTGGGGAGGAAAACACTGGCACTATTTCAAGGAGAAAAGCAATGGTATAAATAACTAGAAATACTCTGCAGAAGGCTCCTTCCTGTTTTACTCCTTAAACAACTCAAAGAGGAAATGAAATCCTTAAAACTGGATAAATTAGCACTAAATTTGGGAGTGGCAGAATGCAACATGAAAGTATCTAGTCTAATTTTAATTTTGGAAAAACTGCCCTCAGTAAAACTGAGCTCCAAAGGATCAAATAAGAGTACTTTCAGTGCTTGAAATTTCAGATAAAGAGAGGAAGAGAAAAATCTATCCCCTTCCTTGACTTGGCCAGGTCAACAAAAACATCTGAGAAATTTCATTTAAATTCTAATCTGCACTCAGTACTGTGTGTCACATAACCATGTGACAGAATATAGGCTAAGTATGGAGGCAGGCTGGGATCAGCCAAACCCAGAGGCACATGAGCAACAAATAAATGCTTACTGTTTGGTGTATACTGTGAAGTCTGGGATGGCTGTGCTAGACAGCATTACTGTAGCAACAGCTAGTGATACAATGTAAACTCATGAGTATGAGACGTGCAATCTAAGGGGTTAAATTATTTATTCATGACTTCCCAGAGAGTAAGCAGCAATGCTACAGACAGTATTTTCCTGCAACAGACAGTAGTCTCCAAAACTGGCTGTCATAAATTTCCCATCCCATGTGGTCTTCCTCAACCCTGGCACTACCCTTTAAAACTGAATGAGCCTTAGTGGCTGCCCCAACTAATGGAGTTCCATGAAAGTGTTCTACAGGACTTCTGATAAGAGGTGACAGAGGTGATAAAAGGCAGAATGGCTCAAGCCACAGAGCGCTTGCCTAGCAAACATGAAGCCCTGGGTTCAAACCACAATGACACGTACACACACACACACACACACACACACCACACACACACACACACACAGTGAGAAAACTCTCAGCTGCCTCTGAAAATGCACCTGTGGAACTCCATGTCACTACACAAGAAGCATACTCTGAAGTCACTCTATTGACACTATCATATCACACAGACACAGATGCCTAAGGAGTCTGTCCCAGCCCCCTGGTGTGTATGTCCTCTTAGACCCAGCAGGTATAGGAGTGAGGGAACCTTTGAGATGGCTCCTGCCCAGTCATTGTCTGAAGTGTATAGAAACCCTGAGCAACAACTGCTTAGCTGAGCCAAGCCACCACTGGAACTATGAGAAACTGAAACAAAACAATTGTCTTTATAAGCTACTAAATTTTAGGATGACTTTTTTTGGGAGGGGAGGAGCACTGGGGTTTTGAACGCAGGGCTTCAACGCTTACAAAGCAGACACTCTAATGCTTGAGCTACACCTCCAGTCCATTTTGTTCTGGTTATTTTGGAGATGGGGTTTCCCCAGGGAACCTCAAACTGTGATCCTCTTAGGGTGATTTCATATACCTTTTTTAAACAAATGAAATAAACCCATATCCAAATCTTGGGATTAATGTGGAGTCCCAGAATACTGGACTAGAAAGAATTCCTTTGGCTGGGTTTGGTGGCACATGCCTGTAATATCAGCACTTAAAAGTAGGAAAACCAAGGGGTACATAGTGAGACGCTGTCTCAGAAAAGGAAAACAAACAAAAAAGGAAATTTTGAAGGTGGAGGAGAGGAGTAGGCTGAAACCAGGTGAAAATTTGCATCACCTAGGCCTCAGAGTCCTTACCTGAAATCCCTTCCTCCCCTGCCATTCCCAACCCAGCCAAGTCCATTACTCTTTGAGGAAATGAAAACCACAGAAGCTCCAGGATGGGGAGGGGAGAAGGGGGAGAAATGACCCAAACAATGTATGCACATGTGAATAAATGAGTAATTAAAAAAGAAAGAAAGAAAAAAAAAAAGCTCCAGACTCATACAGGACAGGACTGAAGTCCCATCCTGAACAGAGGGAAGTTAAATGAAAGTATATTTAGTCATTCTTCCCTTCCCACAGCACTCCTGAAGTCTACGTGTTCCAGAAGGCTGAGTTACACAAAAGAATGCTACCTAACCCACACTAAGACTTTGCACCAACAACAATATATACTGCACTGTGTTATGCCACTGAGGTGTGCACTTTGTTAACCAAGCATGGCCTAGCCTCACCTGATTATTACATCAATTCAACTAATATGCATTTCAAACAGAGAAAACAGGGGGAAGTTATCAACATGAAAATTTCTAGACTGAGGTGTGGATCAAGCTTGAGGCTTTGAATTCAATTTCTGTTACCACAAAAAAAAAAAAAATTCTAGAAGTGAAGGATGAACTTTTGCAAAAATAGCCACAGAGCTGGGCAGGGTAGTTCATACCTATAATTCCAGCTAGTTGGGAGTAGTGGCAGGAGGACTGAGAGATCAAGGCCAGTTAGAGCAGTTAGTGAGACCTTGTCTCAAAAACAAAACATGAACTGGATGCTGGTGGCTCCCACCTATAATCCAAGTCACTTGGGAGGTTGAGATCAGGAGGGTACAAGGTTTGAGGCCAGCTTGGGCAAACAGTTAGTGAGACCCCTATATTCAAAATAACCAGAGCAAAATGGACTAGAGGAGTGGCTCAAGCAGCCACTTTTTTGCCTTTTTTGCAAGCTTGAAGCCCTTAATTCAAACCCTAATCCCACCAAAAAACAAACAACAACAAAAACAAAAACACAGCAGGACTTGAATGGCTCATGTCTATAATCTTAGCTACTTGAGAAGCTGAGATCAGGAGAATCGTGGTTCCAGGCCAGTCTGGGCAAAAAAGTTCGCAAGACACCTTCTCAACAGAAAATATCTGGGCATACAGCACATGCCTGTCATCCCAGTTTCAGGGGGGAGTCTAAAACAGTAGGCCAGCCTGGGCAAAAAATGAGACCTTACCTTCAAAATAACCAGAGCAAAAAAGGTTAGAAGTATGGTGCAAGCAGTAGAGTGCCTGCCCTAGCAAGCTCAAGGCCCTGAGTTCAAACCCCACTACCGCCAAAAATAGCAACAACAAAAAAATACAAGTGGGAAAGCACTTGCTGGGTTCAATCCCCAGCATAACAAATCAATAAAAGAGCCACTGAATATTTTGCATAGCAGACTTTAAAAAGACCCACATCAAGGCGTACCATTGTGAAATTTTAGAATGTTGGTGATATTAAGAACAAATGGCCCAAGTTACAGGGAAAGGAAAGCAGCCTTTATGCAGTGCAGGTTTGGATTTGTTGTTTTCATGTTTTACAACTTGTATCAGTCACTTAAGTAAACATTTTCAGAAAAGCAACCCGGATCCTGTCACTGTGTTAGACATCAGGAGGTTCGCTGTTCAAAGCCAAACCAAGCAAACAGTTCAAGAGACCCTATCTCAAAAATACTCAACACAAAACAGGGATGGTGGAGAGGCTCAAGTGTAGAATGCCTGCTTAGCAAGTGTGAGGCCCTGAGTTCAAGCCCCAGTACCACCAAAAGAAGAGAATCTCCCAGCTCAGCAAGTCCTAACAATATATGAAATATAGGAAGTGCAACAGAGAAGGCATGGAGAAAGTATAAGCTGTGGGAATATCTTTCTTAATTTCTTCATGCCACATCCACTAGGCAAAAAAAAAAATTAAAAAAAATACACTGGTATATTTCTCAGAGACTTTAATAACTGACACAAAGTAATACTGGCAGATTACTTTTCAGATTGAGACTATCCCTAGAACTCCATTTTATACAAGCAATAAGAGATTAGGCTACGAAAGTATCCTCAATGGAGAATTTAAATTATAGAGTATCTCATGTACAAGAGGGAACCCTGACAGGGAAAGGCCAACTATTAGCAACAATTAATTCAGGTGTTATTGGCAGAAATTCCATTTTAACTTACTCAGTCCTTCCTAAAAAGGCTTCACTTGGGCAGGAATTTCCCATGACTGTCCTTTTCCAAAAGGTGAATCATTTAGGAAAGTCTGAGCTAGATGGCTCAGCTGGTTATGTGATAGGAACAGATATTAAAAAATACTATTCTCCTCCATTTCCCAAGGTTAATAAACTATGCATTTTTCAAGTGGGGGAAAAACAAACATCAAAAATCTAAAATTTAATAATCAAAACATAATTAGAAAAACTAAGTCTAGCCTTGTACTAACACTACATTATACTTATACTTACAAATTCTTCCCAGTCATCACTAGCTCTTTCTCACATTTCTTAAAGATGTAGTAATGCTCTTAAATTGATATAAAGACAAAAAAGAAAAAGTAGAATAATGACATCAAGAGAGTAAAAGATATGCTTAAATCCATACACTGAATTTGTATCTGGGTTATCAATTACAGTTCAGATTTTCCAAGCTCCTTCAAGAAGATTCCTAATACCTGATTTTGAATATAAACAATTTAAGTTTTTAAAAAATCCTGCCACATGTCAACTATTAAGAGGGTTTCTGTTCTCTTTAGAGGGAAGAAGTTAAAGAGAACTTCCACTTGTCCTGTTCTATATTTCTGCAATGTATGATTTTAAAAATAAGTATATATTACTTTGAAGTATAAGTAAAACACACGTGAGAGTATGTAATTTATGGAAAAAAGTCCTTCTATACTCATTTCTTTGTTTTCTTTTTGATAGACTAGGTACTGCCCTCTTCTGACAAATGGTGGAAACAGCAGATTCCCTGCATTCCTAGCCAGTATTTAAAATTCCCATCCATTTACCTTCAAAATCAAGTAAGAAAGTTGTGGTTTATGCATATATTTATAAAAAACCTATGAAATTTAATTTGATGAGAAATTTAATGATTTCTCATAGCAACAGTTATTCAACAGTTTTTTGTGCTCTCCATGAAGGCTACTGGTAAGGTTATAAATAAATCTTCCTTGGATATTCCGTATGACACATGAGAAGTAATACAGAACAAGACAGACTTAACTTCTAAAATAATTGTAAACTCTCTTTCTAGTGGTACATTAATAGAATGTATTACTCGTTATAGGACTTCCTATGTTATTTTTATAGGACTGTTTTATTATTTTTATAGGACTTCAAACCACTGAAGGTTTGCTGTCAGTGTTCTACTACCTCCTACTGGACAATTCAATAGGTTCCAGTATGATTTCTGAAGGCAAACTACATTCACATGATCAAATAATTTTTTTAATGGATCCCCACAATAACTAATTACCAAGGGAAAGGATGACTTATGGTGGGTAATTCTGACAGATGCAGCGTGTGATTTAACTTATCACTACCAATATTAGGTCCCTTGTTGAAAGAGAAGCACTGTTGATGCAATATTTTGTCTAACATGATCGATCTAAAACTAATCATGAAAAAATAATTGAGGGGCATTCTGTAATACACATTGTCTAGGCTCTTAAAAGATCAAGTGCAATATTTAATTTTGGATTGGATCTTAGACTGCATAAGAAATTTAAGTGAAAAGAACATCATTGGGACAACTGGGGAAATTTGAATAGAATCATATATAGTGCTACTCAAAGTATGAGCTGCAAAACTGCCTGCTACAGAAAAAAGTGGGAAAAAAAGGTTAGAAACAAAACAAAAACCACCTGCTATTGATCCAAAACAAGATGCATGAAAATTGGTACACATATAAACCTATTAGGATAATGTCACAATATTCAAGACATGACTTGAATCCCTGCATTAAATAGAGTACATACAGACCAATTCCATTAGCATCAAACTTTCAAGGTGAGTCACATGTGATAAAAACCATGTATTTGTCATGCACAATAAGACCACATTATAATTTATGTGGTATTAATGGTTATCTTGTCAACTAGAACCCAAAAATGTAACAAAGCATAAACATTTATCTTTGTTTTTTACACTCATTTTGCTAACCAAGTCTGATTTTTCAAATTTACAATTTAAAATTAGTAACTAAAACAAGAAAGTAAAATTGGCATTATTTCTATTCCTAATTTGGTGATGTTTTTATAAACATCCTCCTCTTCTGAATGCAGCAACAGTGATAAACTATGATGATCAAAGAAGGGATTCAAAAAAAACTGAGTACCAAACAATGTTACACTGTCTTGACACCATAATCCTTCATATATTGAGTTTGTTTTTTGACATGTAATACTACAACTATGTACAGAGCTCTTTGCAGAAATGTTTTTGCTAATGAAGCAATGAATCTATCAAACTCCAATGGCATTTACACACAAACTTGAAATATAACTCAGGGGTAGAGCACAAGCCCAACATGCATGAGCCCTGAATTTGCTCTCCAGAGCAAGAGCTCTACCACCAAACCACATCCCCAGTCCTAAGTGTTATTTTTTTAAGAAAAGAAAACCAACAAAGAAATAATTTACTTGTATATTTTCTTTTGGAGTAGTGCTGTTATCAATCCAACTTTTATTAGATACATTAACAAGAAATAAACTTTTCTGTTCCAATAAAATTTTTATTAAACAGAATTATTCAGAGTGTGTCTGATTTTTAATATTAAAACTGGTATTTCTAGTGAAAGAAAGTTTTTTTATTAAGTAAAAAGCATGAATAGTGATTCCTATATCAATTACCTATATTCATACTTTTAATGAACCAGTCTGTATTCTTTCCCCTTTCCTATATTGTTTGACTATATTTACAGAAATGTTATTTTGTGTCTACTGAATCTTATTAAATATTTGCGCTTATATATCTTTTTTAATATTTTCTAGCAATTCCTTTATTGTGTTTTACAAAAGTAGTGGTCTACAACAGATTGAAAATTTTAAATCATAAGTAGTAATTTGCTCAGACATTAAACTTGCTGATATAAGAATTATATTGTGTTGCAAAGAAAAATAATATTTATTTTTAGGAGACCTGCTAAAGCATTCAAGAATGATGTGTTATAGTGGTTACAAGTAATTCTCAAAATTACTTGCAAAAAACACAAATATATGGCTGGCAGAGGGGCCCAAGTAGTAAGAATGCCTATCTAGCAAGAGTGAGGCCCTGAGTTCAAATCTCAGTGCTGCCAGAAAAAAACCAGAAAAAACAAATATAAACAGAAGCAAAAAGTGGCAGGATACAAAAAAAAAGCAAAACACTGAACAATAATAGATAATGAAAAGTACATGAGTATTCACTATAATCCTATTCTTATGAAATTTCTGTAAGTATGAGATTTTTCAGAGAAAATGTTTGTGAGAAATATTTTAAAATAGTAAATTTTTGTTTGAAGCCTTAAGTTGAAACCCCAGTCCCACCAAATAAAAAAGAGTCATTTTTGTCCCATACTATTAATAAAACTGACAGTACTAAATTCCGTTTTCCAAAACATATTTTTACCAGATTAAATATAGTTGAACCTCTGTATTAGTGCATTCCACAGTTGATTCAACCAAGTACAGACAAAATACTCAGAATAAAACACTGCCATCAGTCAACACTTGTCATTATGCCCTGAACAATACAACTATACATGGCATTTACACTTGTTAGGTATTACAAATAATTAGAAGATGAGTCAATTACACAGACGGTTGAGCATTAAGTTATATGCAGATACCGCACCATTTTATGTAAGCGACATGAGTAGCTGAGGACTGTGGCATTCTCAGGGGTCCTAGAACCTACCTCCCATGCATACTGAGGAATGACTATAATTGTTAGGAAACAGGCATTATTTTTAAGCATAATTTTAAGGGAAACCTGCAGAGTGCCTCCAGGTCTAATTTGTTACTGCCAATGGAAATGACAGTAAAAAATTATTGTACCTACAAAACAATGAGCATTTCATCTGCTCTCATTTAGCTCTAAATTACAGGTCAGCTGTTTTCACATAATAAATTTAAATAAATAGGGAAAAAGAAATTCCAGGCATGTGGCTCTTACCTACAACAGCCAGTAGGCTAAACTGATCAAGATAGGAAGCTTCTACTGTTTTTCTAAACTATAGTAAACAAACCTCAAACCAATTTAAAAAATATTAAGATGAGGAAATAATATTGGAACCAAATTTTTTCCTAGCATTTTTCAATTCTTACCTGATTTTAAAATCTCACTGGGGCTGCTACTTCATGGTTCAGGAAACTAATAAAGGAAATAATGATGTATCCAAAGTCATATTAGCATGCAATGAGCAAATGGAAGTACAAACTCTTCCAAAATATTAAGATGGGTTGGAATGAGAAGAGATTATCTAACACCATTTAGAAAGGTGCTCTTTTTTTTTTTTTTTTTTTTAAGGAACTTGTTTCACTAACTTTATTAGCTTATATAAGTCCTCTTACCTCACTTCTTCACCTGCAAAATCAAACACCTTGGTGATTTTAACTTTTTCTGTTTCTTTAGGTTTTTCTAGCTCTTCTGCTTTGACCAACAATTTACTTGAACTCAACTCTTCAGTCTCCTCTCCTGTCTGTGAAAAGAACAAGAAATGTAATCGTCTTCACCAAAGTGTAACCCTAACAGAACTATCAGCATGCTATTTATGGCTGTTCTTCAATGTTCCATCTCTAATCAACTGGCTCAAGTGCTGTAGCACTTGTCTAGCATGCAGGGAAGCCCTGGGTTCAATCCCTAGAACCACACACACACACACACACACACACACAAAGAGAAAGACAGACAGACAGACACACACACACACACATACACACACACACACACAGCTTCTAGTCTGCTTTGTGCAGTATAATTCAAATCTCAGTTTGCAAATTAAAAAAAAAACAAAACCAAAACCCTTTCTGAGGAACTTAGGGTATTTCTGGAGGGATATTCATCTCATTAATCTCAAAACTTACCTTAACTTGTGTACTTTGGGGCACTTTTGATTTTGGTCCCACATCATTGAGGAAGCTGGCCCAGAGTTCATCCTCCTTCTTTTTCCTTGCAACTTCTGATCCAATGCCTTTCTCCTGCTCTTCTGCTTCATCTTCCTCCTCACTGCTAGTCCCTCCAGATTCAGCCCTGGTCTCCTCCTCCTCTTCTTCTAACAAGAGGCCACTTTGCTTCCTCTTCCTAATCACCAACAGTCACCACAAAAGGAAAAACAAGACACACAATGCAAAATAATGATATCCCCTCCTCAACTACAAATGTCATCTTGCATATCTGAGAAAAATTTAAAACAAGGGAGGTAAACAGATTTTGTAAAAGGGAAAAAAAAAAAAAAAAAAAAGAATGGCTTCTTGCTGTCAACATTTTCCCTAATACTTAAATCAAATTTTAGTGTTCTAAGTCAAGATTAAGAAAACATCTAAAAATCACCTCACAGAACTAATCTGTTCAGAAAAAATATTCTTCTTCTTTTTTTTTTGGTAGTACTGGGGTTTGAACTCAAGACCTCATGTTTGCTAGGCAGGCACTCTACCACTTGAGTTAATTCACCAGCCTCAGAAAAAATATTCTAAAGACATATATATGCCAAATATTTTTTTTTTTTTACTTTTGGAGAACAAATTCTACTGCAAAGATTTTCAAATGTATTTGCATTATTTCTTCTAGAAGTTCCCAGAGGAAAAATATATCAGTATTTTGGGCCACTTTCTAAGCAAATTAAAGTTGCAATATAGAGAAACTCATGAACAAGAGAACTGGGCCCAAGACTTACAAGGTATATTGCTTTTTATACTGCTTTGACTTTAAGTGATCACCTACTATCTAAGTTCTTTTTTTTTTTCCTTCTCATAAACTATAATTTGGTTTCTGCTTCAGTGCCCAGGAAGACAAAAACACCAGTGAGGTAAAAGACTTCTACAAAGATGCTCTTCTGTATAATCCAGTACCAGGCCTATGGAAGGAAATTTACATTTAAAAAATTTTTAAGCCAGGCACTGGTGGCTTATGCCTATAATTCTACCTACTCAGAAGGCAGAGATTAGGAGGATTGAGGCTTGAAGCCAGCCTTAGTAAACAGCTTGTGAGATCCTATCTCGAAAATACTCAACACAAATAAGGACTGGGGGAATGGTTCAAGTGGTAGAATGCCTGCCTAGCAAGCATGAGGCCCTGAGGTCAAACCACAGTACCACCAAAAACAAAACTTTCTTTTTAACTGCATATAATCTTAGATAAAACAAATTTTCATCTACAAATGTGACTTAGATATACCTGTACACATATACAAAGACATATAATTAGTATTTGCTGCAGTTTTGTTTGTTGTAGTAAAGATGAGGTACAATCCAAACGTTCCTCAATAAAGTAATGCTTAAATGAAATAAAGACTATTCATGCTGGGATGTAGCTCAGTGGCACAGTGCTTGCCTAGCATGTGCGAGGCCCGGGGTTCAATCCCAGCACCAAAAAAAAAAAAAAAAAAGACAAAAGACTATTCATATAATGTAATGCTACGCAATCACTGAAAAGAATGAGGTATGTCTAAATGTACTGCCATACCATGACCAAATTGTGAACTAAAATAAGTGAGAGACAATATGCAAGGCAGGCATGGTGGTGCTTGACTGTAATTCAGCTACTTGGGAGACTGAAGTGAGTGAGTGAGCCCAGCCTAGAAAACATAGCAAGAGAGACACAACAGGCAGAGTTTGTACTTTTTTGTTTAACCATATGCATATTTTACCTTTTTTTTTTTTTCAGTTAAAGCCTAAAAATTTTCAAAGTTTGCCAGAGACCAAGAATTTAATTCTAGCTGGCAGAATGGCTCAAGTGGTAGTGCCTGCCAAGCAAGCACAAGACCCGTGAGTTCAAATCCCAGTACCACTTACAGAAAAAAGTTAATTCTAAAATATATCAGCAAAAGTTTTCCTCAAAGAGAAAAGGGTTTAAAAATCCACACAGTTAAAAAATGTATCATCACCTGGGCACCAGTGGCCCACACTTATAATCCTAAGTACTCAGGAGACAGAGATCAGGAGGATTGAGGTTCGAAGCCAGCCCAGACAAATAGTTCGTGAGACCCTGTTTCAAAAATACCCAACACAAAAAAGGACTAGTAGAGCGGCTCAAGGTGTACAGGCCCTGAGTTCAAATCCCAATACCAAAAAAAACAAAAACAAACAAAAAAACCCCAAACTATCATCAGATCAATCTCAGCAATTAAGACGACTGTGAGAACAGCCTTTGACTATCAGGGCCTGGAGGGCAGACGGGTGGTCACCTGGCCAGAATGCTCTGAGCCTTTCTTTTTTTCCCTTTGGTTTTCTGGGTCTGTTCTTCACCATCTACTTCGTCTTCCTTCACTAATTCATTTACATCATCTTCACTGTACTCTCCACCTGAAATCACATAATAAGGTCATCAGTTAGGAACAAAGGTTTTCACATCAAGATAAAACACTTCCATTACAAAAAAAATCCAATTGTTTCCCTTATTCTTTTTCTAACAAAAACAATTTCCTCAGGGAAGTTGTGCTGCACTGAAGACTAGGTACTTCTATCCTAGACTCCCAAAGCAGTCTATACTCCCCCCATAACTCATCCCACTCATATTTAATATTTCAATTTCTGTTCTGCTCTACACTCTCTGAGGACGTGGACTCTGCATATCTTGATTTTTAAGTATTTGCTGAATGAAAGTGAGTGAATGAATGAATGGAAATTCCAATTCTACTAATACACTTCCCAAAGTGCTCATGAGCCTACCTCACCTTGTTTTCTTTCAAAAACAAGATACCCTGTATCTATACACCATGGAATTCTATGCAGCCACGAAGAAGAACGAAGTGTTATCATTCGCTGCTAAATGGATGGAATTGGAGAACATCATTCTGAGTGAGGTTAGCCTGGCCCAAAAGACCAAAAATCGTATGTTCTCCCTCATATGTGGACATTAGATCAAGGGCAAACACAACAAGGGGATTGGACTATGAGCACATGATAAAAGCGAGAGCACACAAGGGAGGGGTGAGGATAGGTAAGACACCTAAAAAATTAGCTAGCATTTGTTGCCCTTAACACAGAGAAACTAAAGCAGATACCTTAAAAGCAACTGAGGACAATAGGAAAAGGGGAACAGGAACTAGAGAAAAGGTTAGATCAAAAAATTAACCTAGAAGGTAACACCCACGCACAGGAAATCAATGTGAGTCAACTCCCTGTATAGCTATCCTTATCTCAACTAGCAAAAACCCTTGTCCCTTCCTATTATTGCTTATACTCTCTCTACAACAAAATTAGAGATAAGGGCAAAATAGTTTCTTCTGGGTATTGAGGGGGTGGGGGGGAGAGGGAGGGGGTGGAGTGGGTGGTAAGGGAGGGGGTGGGGGCAGGGGGGAAAAATGACCCAAGCCTTGTATGCACATATGAATAATAAAAGAAAAAAAAATTAAAAAAAAAAAAAAGATACCCTGTTTTGCCTATAAATGAGGTTTAGAAAGAAATGAAGACTTACACTTAACTAATAAACACATCTCTGTCCCATCTTCAGACGTGAACATTCAGGGGTCCCCAACAAAACAGCTTCACCCAGATGTCTGATCTGACTACACTTTGTGGGCACCCATCAATATACCAACCTTACTCATACAGAGATTCAATTAGCTTTCTCCTTTTTAAGTTTCATATAAACTTCCAGTTGAAGTGTGCATACCAAAAAGCACATAAATCAAATGTACAGCTCAGTAAAGACATACACAGTAAACCAGGACCTAGGCTTGAGAAACAGAACATGACCAGCATCCCAGAAAGTTCTTTGTGTCCCCTTCTAGTAACTAGTCACTGCCCCCACTCCAAAGGAAACCACTATCTTGACTTTCAACCCCTCAGATTAGTTTTGCCTGTTTTTGAACTTTAAAACAGAAGACTACAATATGTACTCCTTTTGTGTCTACTCCTCCCTTCCTGACAAGGTTTCACTATGTATCACAGGCTGGTGTGGAACTTGCTATATTGCCCAAGCTGGCCTGGAACTCACAATCTTCCTGCCTTAGCCTCCTGAATGTTGGAGTTATAGGCATGTGCCACCATTCTGGTTTGTGTCTGGCTTCTTTTACTCAACAGTATACTTGTAACAATGTTTATTCATTCTCATTCCTAAATAGTATTGCATTACACTACTATACCACAATTTATTTATCCATTCTGTTGATGGACTTTTAGGTTGTTTCCAGTTTGGAGTCATTACAAATAGTTCTGTTTTGAAAATCCTATAAATTCAATCTTACAGTGAACCAACTACTACCAAACACTTGAGGAAAGCCTCTAATATGAAAGGCAAGACTCAAAAAGAAAGGAATTCAGAAGAAACAGTACAGTAATCAGAAGGAAAAACCCAAAAACTTAAGAACAATTCTTTATATTTAGTATTTCAAAGAAATAGGAAATAACTACAGTATTTATGAAATAAGAATAAGATAAAGCCAGATGTGATGGCACACACCTCCTGTAATCCCAGCATTCAGGAAGGAAGGAAAAGAATGACAAGCTCAAGGCCAGCCTGGGCTACAGGGCAAGACCCTGTCTCAAAAAAACACCAAAAGAAAGAAAGAGTGGTTCAAGTGGTAGCACCTGCCTAGCAAGCATGAGGCCCTGAGTTTAAATCCCAGTACCACCAAAAAAAATATAATTAAAACAAATTTTAAATACTCCCCCAAAACTACAAAAAAATTTTTAAAACTCTTGAAAACTAAAACATGATAGCAAAGATGATGATGAAGGAAGAAGAAGAGAAGGAGAAGCAGAAGCCAAGCATGTGAAAATCTAGAAAATACATATTCAAGGCCAATATAATACATAAAGGTTCCAAAATGGAAACCAGTCTGGTTTTTCAAACACCAAGCCAGGACTGGATTTCATTAGGAGAAAAGTGAGTTCCAAAGTAACTGTGCTTCCTTCTGAAACCCCATAAAAAGACTACAGCAAAAGAATCTTCAATGGAAATGTCACAATGAAATACCCTTATAGCTCAAATAAAAATACCATTGTTTAAAAAAACAAAAACAGAACAGGAAGGCAAAACAGGTCCTGTCTGGGGGTTGGTACCAGTGGGAGGGGGAAGGACATACGGAAAGGGTGTAGGAGAGTGAATATGGTGGGAATACTATGCACTCATTTATGTAAATGAAAAAAGGAGACCTACTGAAACTATTCCAGGAAGGTGGTGGAGTAAAAGAGAATGATAAAGGGGTGAATTCAACTATGATAACGTCCTAAGAACTTTTGTAAATGTTACAATGTACCTCCAGTACAACAGTAATATAATAAAAAAAAAAAAAAGAATTTTCCTACAATGCTAGAAAGAACAGGTAAGGAGACAACAGCCACACATTTCTGGAACCTAGAGACCAAGTTGTAACTACCGGCAGACCTGAGGAAAAGTAAAAGCCTAAATCGATGCACAATGCAGAATCCTCAAAAGGCCTAGGGATCAATAGTGTTGGCTACATCTGAAGCCCACCATGAGGTTGAGTCTTCTCAAATCAGGAGAAAGCTTTAAGAGAAACAGTTGGAACCCTTTAGTCCTCTCTAGCTCTAAGTCATGGCAACTAACTCCACCAGCACTGTTCCCAGCAGAAGTCAGAGCACTTTATTGGAAGGTAGTCCAAAGCCTCTAGACAGGGAGATGCCCAGCACTGTTGTGTGCAGAGGTACTCTAAAGAAATCAGAGGTGTGCAAGTAGCCAACGTGAATGCTATGGCTGAACACTGAGACTACCAGCAGTACTGTCTTTTTCTTACAGTTAGATTTTAGTTACTACTCAGCTTTTTGAAACTATATTTGTGTAGGTGATAAACTATTAAAATAAAATCAAGCTGAATGCCAGTGGCTCACACCTATAATCCTAGCTACTCAGCAAGCAGAGATCAAGAGCATTGTGGTTCAAAGCCAGCCAGGGCAAATTGTTGGTGAGACCCTGTCTCGAAAAAACCCATCACAAAAAAACAGATGGTGGAGTGGCTCAAGGTGTAGGCCCTCAGTTCAAGCCCCAGTATTGCAAAGATCAATAAATAGGATAAATAAATAAAAGAAATTTAAAAATTACACAGGAGTATCTTTGGAGCTGATAATCTGGTTCTTAAACTGGATGAGATGAGTATTCATTTGCTTTGTAGTTCTTAAACTACCTTCCATGTGTGTGTTTCACATTTTTATAAATTGAGTCAAATACAGAACACCATTAAAGGTTGCCATTGTTGTGCAAATAATGTCCGCAGGGCCAAACAGCAACCAGCACACTTCTTTTTTTTTTTTTATGGTGGCACTAGGGTTTGAATTCAGGGCCTTACACTTGCTAGGCAGGAGCTCTTACCACCTGAGCCACTCGGCCAGCCCTGCAACCAGTACACTTATGCATCTGTAATTTTGCTAGATATCAGTAACTCTTAACAAATACCTTCTGGAGGAGAATTTGGCAATATCTAATAAAACCACAATGTATTTATCTTTCAGTTCAGCATTCTCACTTGTAGAATTCTATGCCAAAATATATAGTAGGTTATTTACTCCAGTGCCGGTTATGAAACAAAAGACTGGAAAAAGTGGTTGAACAGACTATGGTACATCTAGATAATGAAATACTACAAACCCACTATAAAAGAACATGCAGGATCTTTTATGTATTTACCTGTAGAATACAATGTTAAGTTACAAAGAAAAAACGGGGAAGAAAGGTGAAAGAAGAGTGTATGAAATATGCCACCTTTTATTAAGCAAATGGAATAAATGTCTATTTATGTACTTCTTCATATGTGCCCAAACTGGCACATTCATACAACAGAACAACCAACCTCCTGATAGGTACAGCAGCATGGGTAAATCACAAACATTCTACGCCAAGTGAAAGAAACCAGACACAAAACAATCACTGTTATGATTACATTTCTATTACTTTCTGGAAAAGGCAACAATATGTAGACAGTAAGCAGACCAGTGGTTGCCAGAGAGGCTGACTCTGAGGTTAAAGGACAGTTGTTTGACCACAAAGTGTAGCTCAGGGAATTTTGGTTTGGGGGAGAATGGAAGGCTTGAAATTGTTAATTTGGGTAATTATGCTAAACAATTTCCAAAAAGTCCAGAACAGTGCACTGAACAGAGTAAATCTTACATATGGAAGTTAAACATGATTTTAAATCATTAATATCTTTAAAGTGATAAAATACTACATTTGTGAAACAAGAACAGTCAAAGAACAAAACAGTTATTTAAAATTAAGAATATGGAGGGAGGAAAAACTCAATAGGATAGGAAGATGAAATGCTGATAATACCTGTAAAATGGGGAAAAGTCAAAGGATAGAAAAAAAGGAGAAAATGATAGAAGAACTGTCCTGAAGGTCTAATGTAGGTTTATCATATGAATAATGAAGATTCCAGAAAAATAAATCAGAAAATAGGAAACAGAAATTGTTAAAAAAACAAATTTTTCTGGAAAGAAAAAAAAAGTTCCCAGAAGGTCTGGCACAATAACCAAAAGCAGACTCAATCAAGGTGTAGCATGATGACATTATCAGAAAATGGGAGCAGATACTATCTGCTTCCAGAAAGAAAAGATCCTACACAACGAAGAGAAAATAAAACGGAGTTCTTGCTAGGTAGGCAAGCACTCCAACACTTGAGCCACACCCTCAGCCCCAAGTTCTAAACAGCAACACTAGGTAGAAAGTAATGAAGCAACACCTTTAAAATTCTGACAGAAATTATTTCTAACCTAGAATTCTATTATCAACCAACCAATCAATAAAGCCTGCAGATAGCATAGTAACTTTCAGACATTTAAGTTCTCAAACAAAACAAAAAAGTTTCTGTCATCCATCGTCCTCAAGAAGTTATTAAAGGATTTATTCTCATTTTGGTGGCACACATGAAGGCCACATGAGAGCCAAGAAAGAGGGAATCCAGTAGGAAGCTAAAAGGAACAGCCAGAGTGGTGATGATGATGGAAGGTCCTAGGTTTGAATCTCAAAGATGGGTTGGCAGAGAGGCTCAAGTGGAAGAGCACCTGCTCAGCAAGTGTGAACCCCTGAGTTCAAACCCCAGTGCTGCCACCAAAAAAAAAAGAAAAGAGGAGGAAGGAATAGTACAGCCTGGCACCAGCAGCTCATGCCTATAATCCAAGCCACCCAGGAGGCAGAGATCAAGAATCATGGTTTGAAGTCAGCAAATAGATCCTATGGCTGAAGGTATAGGAAACCCCAGTATTGAAAAAAAAAAAAACAGACAGAAAAACAAAAAAACCCCTCAAAGTCATAGGAGGGCAACCACATCAAATTGGAGGTCATAGGTAAAGATTAACTTCCAAAAGATGAATGTGAATACCTAAAGAATCTTAAGTATTTTGGGAAATGGCTTATTCTGAAAGTTCACAGTCAAATTAGTAATAAAGGACAGGTGAGGTGGCTCAGGCCTGTAATGCCATCTACCTGGGAGATGAAGGTCAGGAGGACAGCAGTTTGAAGCAGCCCAGGCACAAAGTGAGATTCCATCTCAACAAAAAATGTGGGTGAGGTTGGGTGCACCTGTAATCCCAGTTGTATAGGAGACATAAGAGGATACCAGTAAAGATGCTCAAAAATACCCAAAGCAAAAAGGGCTGGGGCACGACTCAAAAGGTAGCGTGCCTGCATTACAAGCAGGAGGCTCTGAGTATAAATCCCTGTTCCAAAAAAAAAAAAAAAAAAGTAACAGCATGGCCAGCTGAGTAGTTTTTTGTTTTGTTTTGTGATACTTGGGCTTGAACTCAGGGCCTGCACATTGAGCCATTCAACCAGCCTTTTGTGAAGGGTTTTTTTCTGAGATAGGGTCTCACGAAACTATTTGCAGGGAATGACTTCCAACAGCCATCCTTCCTGATCTCTGCCTTCTGAGTAGCTACATTAAGGGCGTGAGCCACCACGCAATTATTAACTCCAGAGAAAAGTAGTGCACTTAAAACAATCATAATGTGGGCCAGCGGTGAGCAGCGAGTTCAGACATTACAAAAAAGTAAACACGGAATACCTATCTAACCAAAATTGAACACAGGTACTTCGGCAGGCTGGGGAGGGCTGCAAGGTTGAAGAATGTATGTCGGACAGAGAAATGAGCTGGGAGGACGGGGATTAAACAAAAAAAACCCCCACCCCACCATGTATGGGTTAAGTCCAAGTGGAAAGCAGCTTCCTCTGGGGAGGCCTGAATATTGATGAAGGGGTGATGGGAAATGTGTAGGTTTTCAAGGCAAGTCTTTTAGAAGTGTTTGTGTTTAAGTGTATGTATGTGCAAGTTTGATTAAAATGCAAACTCGTTTTAGGAAATGGTCCCTGTGGCTGTTGGCCTAAGACTAACATTGGTAGACGAGGATGGAGTCAGGGCAGTCAAGAAGCTATGGAAACACCTAGCGAAGGAGAATGGTAACTCAGAATGAATGGGAAGCAGTGAAACCGGTGAGCCAGAGCTCAGGGAGCATCTTCCACGCAGACACAACAGAACTTATTAATTGGATGGACTGAGAGACAGAATAAGGACAACTGGGGGTGAGGGTGAGGGTATGACTGTTTTGCACCTACGTGATTGTAGGGCATAAATACTTTTAAGGCACTGGTGGCTGATGCCTGTAATCCTAGCTACTAGAGAGGCTGAGATCGAGAGGATCCAGATTCGAGGCCAGGGCGGCAAAGAGTTCTTAAGACCCTATCTCCAAAATAACCCAGAGCAAAATGGACTGGAGGAGTGATTCAAGTGGTACAGTGCCTGGCTGCAAGTGCGAAGCCCTGAGTTGAAACCCCAGTCCCACCAAAATTAAAAAAGGTTAAGTCTGATAAAGGTGCAGGATGAGACAAGGGTAAATTTGGGTGATAAAAATTATCTTGGCTCATTCGGGTTGAGATGCTTATCCGAAAAAAAAAAAAAAAGTCCTGGAGGACAGCATTGAGTAGACACTGCAAAGGGACGAACTACATCATCGTTTTAAAAGTGGACGTGGTGGCGGCCGGCCATGCCCTCGGGCCGGGTCTGAACACACCATCCACCACTAGCGTCAGCTGCAGGAGGCTTCAGAGCCGCGGTGTCGCCGGGCGCGCCGCCAGCGTCCCCAGATAGGGGCCGCGCTCACGTGCGGGTTCCCACGCTCCGAAAGGGGGCGGCGGCCGGATGCAACCGACCCGCCACACGGCTGCGGCCGCTCTGCGAACTAGAGTCCTAAGAGCTGGACGCCGAGCTACCGCGACTACAGCACCGACGCCCGCGGGGACTGCGCTGGCCTCTCGGGAAGCGAGGGGCGGGGCAATCCGCCTCTCGCCTCAGGCGGAATAGCTCACCCGACGGCACGTAGTCCTCGTCCTCCTCCGAAGTGGAGAAGTCTTCGGAGTCGAATTCTTCCATATTGCTGCCGCTCGGGGCCACGCAACCCACAGGACTACAGCGGCTGTCCCCAACAGCAAAGCTCTAGGGAGAGACCATAGAGCTGAGGGGGCCACAGGTAGGGTGGCCCTGGAAGTGTTTGCACATGCGCAGATAGTGCCACGTGGTCCAAACACGACACTTCCGGCCGATGTCTCTAGTCGTACACTTCCGTGGCCCTTGCACCCCACCATGCATTGCGCCTCAGCACGCGTTGCGCCTCGAAGCAATGCATGCTGGAATTTGTAGTCTTCAGCGAGAGCTACTTCGCAGCCTCGATTGAGTAAATGTGCTTAAATAAAATTACCTGCTTATAAAATACGTCCTACTCCCATCATTCTTGAATTTCTATGTTCAAATTCACTTAATATGTATATACTTTTTCATAACCCTCAAGTCAATAATCGGAACGCTTTCTAGAGTTATCCCCGAGCATGCGCAGAGAATGAAACTTTGGCTTGCAAAGGTGGAAGTTCCCAGTTTGTAGCTAAATAAGATTGAAGCTCCGCGTTCTCGCTTCTACTCCCCTGCTGTAAACAGATCCTTCATGTAGACTTTTAGTGCATTTTCTTCATTTTTTTGTGCTTTTTTTTTTGTAGGTGATTTTAATGTCTAAAATGCCCCCCAAGCGTATTGCGGAGGTGCTGCCTAGTGTTCCTAAGCGCAGGAAGTCTGTGATGTGTCTGATGGAGAAAATCCGCGTGTTAGATAAGCTCCGTTCAGGCATAAGTTACAGTGCCCGTTGGCCGAGAGTTCAAAGTGAACGAGTCAACAATCCGCTACATCAAGAAAAAGGAAAAGGAAATACGTCCGTGAGGCCGCCCCAGAAAGTGCTCAGTTGACATCTATGGTGCGTGATGAAACAATGGAAAAGATGGAAAAGCGGCTCCATTGGTGGATTCACGAGATGACAGCGGATTAAAAAAAAAAAAAAAGCATAAGGGACAGTACTGTTGTGAGACTGAAAGCCAAAGAAATCTACGGTCAGAGAAACGAGGGACCGTTCTCGGGGAGCGCCGGCGACGTGGCGTGAGGACCGTGAGGCTTGGTGGGGCGAGGCCTGCAGATCGCGAGGCTGCGGAAGAATTGAAGGACACTGCTGAGCGTTATGTGGACAAAGGGTTATGAGCCAGAGCAGGCGTTCAGTGCGGATGAGACTGGTTTGCTTTACAAGGCTGTTGGCAAACGGGCCTTGTCAAGAACATAATACATATCTCACGACAAATAAGTGGAAAAGGCTTTGAGGACGACGTGGAGGCAGGAAATCAATGCGAGTCAACTCCTTGTATAGCTATCCTTATCTCAACCAGCAAAAACCCTTGGTCCTTCCTATTATTGCTTATACTCTGTCTTCAACAAAATTAGAGATAAGGGCAAAATAGTTTCTGCCGGGGCGGGGAGGGGGGGGTAAGGGAGGGGGTGGGGAAAGGGTGGAGAAATGCCCAAACATTGTATGCAAATATGAATAAAAAAAAAAAAGGAGCCATGGAGGAAATTTTGGCAGAGAACGTAGTAGACCCACCAATGAAGACTTGGATGAAATGGCCAAGGAAGTTGTAGGAGGAGTCAGCTATGAGGACTGTGATGGGAGTCAGCCCAAGACGCCAAGAATTGTCCCTCTCACAGCAGCCAAAATATCAGAATGGAATTCTGCCTTGGAAAAAATTTTCAGTGACATGGAAGAGTCCCCATGCTTGATCGCAGCTTCACCTCCAGTGCATTTGCCCCTTATACTGAAATGCTTAAAGAAATGAGCAGAAAGCAAAGCACACAAAGCTGATGCAAATTTTCAAGCCAGATTGGGAGGGTAAACCGCCCATTGCATCAACTACTGGTGATGGCCAAACTCCTATGGTATAACTGCCAGATGTGGACATGCCACCTGCTTCCTCTTCTGCAGAACAAATCCCACTAACCTCTCCCTTGATCTTCATGGAGCAGCCAAGGTCTGGAGGTTTAACCACACTACATTTCCCCATTAACATCCTGCACTTCCATCAACAGTAAGCCTTTAATGTTTTAATTTTTTTAAATGCTTGATCTTTAATTTTTCAGGACTTCATTTGTATTACTGTACTGTATGGTGTGTGTCCACAGTACTGTATTTACTGTAAGCACTGTACAGTATGTCATACTATGTATTTATTACTCTACATGTATGTTATATGCATATGACTGTAGGAGAATACGAAACCATAGTACAATTTCAGTACAGAAAAGTACATTACTCCAAAGTACTGTAATTGAAGTTTTGTCTTATTATAAGGAAATACTACTTGTAATTCTTTGTTTTATTCGTGTGTGTGTGTGTGTGTATTTGTATATCTTGTGTGTCTTTAACAAACACACATAAAACAAGGTTATGCATTGGCCAACTGACAAAAGAATTGTCACAGGTTTACAAGAACTTAACCCAGAAGCAATGGTTTAGTATTTACTAATTCAGTGTTAGAGACACCTTTATAAATGTAACCCATTATATTCTAGAATGCAGACCACATCTCCACGAATCTTTCCTTTAAGTTAATTCATGACAGTACAGCCATATATAATTTTTATCATTTTCAAATTAAAACATTTTTATCATGATCCAGTTATGGGAGTCAATAATCAAAAGCCAATACAGAAGAGACACAGGGGACCCCATGCTATGTGTTCATATTACATAAGATGTGACAGTTTTTTCCAGTTCAAAGTTGCTCCTTGCTCATGCTGTGTACTAGATGTCACCCAGTCCTAGCGTTACCTAAATTAGGGAATAGATGAGACATGTCTGTGATTAAAAAAACATTATTGGGCTGAGGGTTTGGCTTAAGGGGGAAAGTACTATCTAGCATGCCCAAGGCCTTGGGTTTAATCCCCAGTGCCAGAAAATTATAGTGGCTCTATTCCAGCAAACTTTGAAATTAAAACAGCCTTATGGAAACATAACCCACATAATAAAATCCACCCATTTAAAAGGACACAACTCTGCCAGGCACCGGTGGTTCACTCCTGTAATCCTAGCTATTCAGGAAGCAGATATCAGAAGGATTATGATTCGAAGCCAGCCTGTGCAAATAGTTCGAGAGACCCTATCTCAAAAAAAGCTTTCACTGAAGGCTGGTGTAGCCCCAGTTCCAGAAATAAATAAATAAATAAAAAGGATACAACTCAGCAGTTTTTAGTATCTTCCCAGATTTGTGCAATCATCATCAAATCAATTTTAGAACAAACCAAATTTAGAAACCGTTTATCTACTAGTCACCTCAGTCCTATCACGAACCTCTACAGATATGCGTGTTCTGGATATTTCATGTAAATGGGATCACACAGTATGTGGGGGTTTTTGTGACCAGTTTCTTTGACTTTAACAAGTGGAATTAATTGATCACATCATAAATGTTTACCTTCTGAGGAACTGCCAAACTGTTTTCCATTTTCCATTCTCACCAGCAGTGAATGAGGGTATTGTTTTCTCTGCATCCTTGCCAACTCTCTTTCAGTTATTGGGAGTGAAATGCAGTTTTGATTTGCGTTTTCTCTGATGACTAGCGATGTTAAGCATCTTTTCATATAGGGTAGTATATGTGCTTTGAAAAAAATGGCTTTTCAGAACCTTTGCCCACTTTTAAATTGGGTTGTCCTTTTTATCTTTGACTTATGAGTACGTTGTATGTTCTGTATAACACACCAGCCCCTTGTAATATCTATGATTTGAAAACACTTTCTCCTGTCTTGTGCCTTTGCACTTCCCTAGAAACATACTTTGAAGCCTAAGTTTTTAATTTCGATGAAGTCTAATATATCTATTTTTGTCTTCATTCTTGTGCTTTTGGGGTTTTATCTAAGAATGCTCAACCTAAGTCACAATCATGAAACTTCAGTCTTCTAGGAGTTGTATAGTTTTAGTTCCTGCATTTAGGCCTACGACCCACTTAACAAGACTTCTTATGGGAGAGTAATAGAAAAACAGGTAAGAAATATAGACCCAGTATTTGGATGTTTACGATTCTCGCTTGCAGTGACAAACTGGTGTGTAGGCCTTTGCCCTATCACTGGGGGTGAGTCTGGGGAAAAGGGGGTGTTGGTGCCATCCAGCATCCTCACCCCTCCAGCAGCCCCTCCTCTCCAGGAGCACCTTCCCTTCCAGTAGCCTCTCTCCCCCAGCATCCTCACTCGCCAGCAGCCCTTCCCCTCCAGTATCCCCACCCCTCCAGCAGCTCCTTCCCTCCTGCAGCCCCTCCCTTCCTGCAGCCCTTCTCCTCCAGCATCCTCATCCCTCCAGCAGTTCCTCCTCTCCAGTAGCCACTCCCCTCCAGGAGCCTCTGCCATCCAGCATCCCAACCCTCCAACAGCCCCTCCTTGCTAGCAGCCCCTCCCTCAAACATTCCTCCTCTCCAGCAGCCCCTCCCCCCAGCATCCTCATCCCTCTAGTGTCCCACCTTCCAACAACCCCTCCCTCCAGCATCCTCTCCCATCCAGCAGTCCCTACACTCCAACAGCCCATTCCCTTCAGCACCCATTTGTCCTAGCATGCAAGTTACTAATTCACAACTTCCCACTACTTTAAGGGTAACTAGGGTAGGAACTATTTTGTAGTGTCAAATAGTTAAGAGATTTTTTTTTTTAATACTGGTTTAGCAGGCCAAATCCAGTTCAAAGACTTGTACTGTTTGACCTAAAAATGTTTTACATAAATTTAAACTGGTAACAGGTTAGGAGTGTGTAGCTCAGTGGTATTTGAGAGGCCCTGAGGGGGAAAAAGTTGCCAACACTTAAAAGATTGAGAGATTTCAATTAATGTAGTTTCAGCTTCCCTTAAAATCTAGGAAACCTGCCAACACTGGGTTGATGATCTCACAGAACAGAACAGGCTGCATCTAAGCAAAATGGACCCTTCAGTCAGGGCTCTCCAGCTGATCACAGTACTAACCCCTCCAGCTTTTTCTAAGGTTTCTGGCTCACCACCACTGTTGTCTTGGTAATAATTTGGGGGGTACTCCCTGCCAAGTTCAGCAGCTGTAACCCCCATCTTCCAGTCTCTTGCCACTTCCACTCTTGACTTACTGTTTTGGAAATTGAAAGTTCCTCTCCTGTTTTGTCTGCGGTACATACAATCCTGGCAGTTTCTGGCAGAACTTTTCTTTTTGGTGGGAACTCAGGGCTTTGCACTTGCATAGCAGTTGTTCTACTGCTTGAGCCACACCTCCAGTCCATGTTTTCTGCTCTAGTTATTTTGGAGTTGGAAGTCTTGTGAACTGTTTGCCTGGGCTGGCCTTGAGCCTCCATCCTCCCCATCTTAGCCTCCCAAGTAGCTAGGATTACAGGCGTGAGCTATGGGCGCCTAGCTCTGGCAGAACCTTTAAGTGTACGAGCCTTCTGCTCTGTAACATTCTTGGGTGTTAGAAGCATTTTGTCTCTTGATTTGAGCATTGGTCACATAAATATATATGTATGTAAAAAATTACCAATACATTCAAGATTTGTGTTCGTTACTGTACAATGAATCTCAATGAAAAAAAAATGGAGACAGAATTGAGTAGTCCCCTGCCAGACGCTGTATGTCTGCACTGTCAGGAACTGGTGGTCACTTAATGACCATGAAATAAACTACCCAAATTGGAAAGTTCAACTTGCTGAAAACAGCAGAACAGAAAGAAATATGTCACTGAGGGCATTAAATCGGTGAAAATTGGGATCATCTCTTTAGGTGGAATAAGTTCTTCACACCCCAGAGAGTCATAAAAAAAACCTTTTTTTTGGGGCGTGGGGGTAACTAGGATTTGGACTCAGGGCCTCACACTGACTAGGAAGGTGCTCAGCAACTCTGCCAGCCCTTTTTCATGATGGATTTTTTTTAGTCTCTCGAACTATTTGCCTGGGATGGCTTCGAACCACGATCCTACTGAGTAGCTAGAATTATAAAAGCTTCTTGATAGCAACTTGTGGTCCACAATGTGAGTTAATGAGCTGGGTTCACATGTAAGTGTAATCACATCTTTGAGTAAGATTTTCAAATTGTTAAAAAGTTGAACATACAAGAAATAAAGTGAAACATATTCATTAAATGCTAAATTAATTTTAAAAAACTAATCAGACTTTATTACAAAAGATTAAACTTACTGGCCACTGAAAAGGAAATGCAATTCCAACTCACAGAATTTAAAGTAATTCTTTATTGATAAACATTTACACTAGAATTAGAAATGTCAGTAGAAAAATAAAATTTAAATAATTTTCTATTGTACAAAGATTTGATCATTTCGACTGTAGCAATTAGTGAAATAACCTAATTCAAAAAGTTAAGCTGATTTTGGTCATAACCAACCTCACAGAGTGCACACAAAAAAGAAACACAAATTCACACGACTGACTTTCAGATGTGGATGCCGAATGGCAGCAGGCTTCACATTCTAGGAAACGCTCCTTAGGGAGGGTGGTGTGTTCTGCAGTGTCATAAGAGCAGTCAGACAGGACACTGAAATCAAAAGCCAACACACAATTTAAAACACACAATTGAAATACAAGAAGGATTTAAAGTTAATTTTTTGTGGAACTGTTTCTCTGTAGTTTAAATGTTTCATAAGATGTCATTCTCTTGCTGCAAAAAGTTTTTAGAGTACAGAGAGACATCTTTTCACCAAATGAGTTCCTATTAAAGGATCAAATAACAAAGTTGGAAGTACAGCTGGGGGTGGGGTTTGCATATGTCTCTTAAGAAAGTCAGCTGTTGGCAAAAATTCTCAAAAAACTCTATTAGGTAAAATGTTCAAACAGATGCAAATATTCTAACATCTGAGCAACCACCTGCAAATAAATCGTATTTGAGACAAGAAACTGAGAAAGGAGAGAAAAAAACCAAAGTGAACTACGTTCTTTATCATTCAAATAGGTTCTCCCAGAAAACACTGAGCACACAGTTCAGTCTGCAAAGGCTGACAAGAGGGTGCTTTGCATACTGTGATGCATGAAGCATTCAATCACTTGAAGACATTTCATATTTGAAGGTTTTTAAAAGAGCAGATAAACAAGAAACAGACATTTTTCAAAATGCCTTAATTTTTGCATCTTAGTTCTAAATCAAAAAAACATTTTAATGATTGATCTATATGTTCAACAGTTATTATTCAGATTGAGCAGCCCCGAAACTACTGGCCCATGTTTGGTTTGTGAAATTACATCTAAAAGCACGTTTCAGGGGAGAACTCTAATAAGAGGCATCCTGCAGGAGAGATTATCAGAACTGTTTCCTATAATAAAGGACATGATACCCCAGAGTTCTTGAACTGAGGGGAATGTACTAAAATCACAACTCCTTGAACTAGAACCTCAAATCTTTAAAAATTTATTGGAAGATTTGAGCTTCTTGTTGGGGAACACGAGAGGACGTTTACGAGCACCTACTGCTTTAAATAGAATAAATTCACGTGCATATGACCTGTAGGCTGTTAGCATTCATCTCACAAGGAAAACCCTCCTTTAAAACCTCAGACTTAATTACCAAAAGCTATTTTGAAAACAGGTAACAGCAACATTGATTGTATTAAACAAAACAGTTTAGGTGGTAAAAGTTACTTAATTTTTGCAATCCTTTCCCTTTTGAAGGTCACAGTTTTCAGGCCTTTTCATAAAAAAGTTAGGCAACAGAATAAAAATTAAAATAGTTAAAATTAAGTTTAAAAAAATTTTGCTATTTAATTCTCTTTAAGATATAAATTCTCTTGAATAAAAGTGCAAAGGGCAAAGGGGGGGGCATATCTGAAAAGGAAACTTCAGGCACTTTCTGGGAGTTGATACTCAAATACTGCAAAAGTGGGCTGAGGGATCACCACCAGTAAACACACTGACACTGAGAAGTCAGTAACACCAACTCAAGTTTCAGCTGTATGACTACAATTTCTCAAGAGTCATCAATAAATCAAAGTCACTGAGAAAAACTGCAACAGATGTTTGAAGTATCTTATTTATGCCCCATTGTCCAAAGAGTATCTTAACCAATCTGGCTTAAAATTTCAACTCAAGGGCTGGCAGAGTGGCTCAAGTACTAAGAGCACCTGGCCAGCAAGCATGAGGCCCAGAGTTCGAACCCAAGTGCTGCCAAAAAAAAACCCCCAAAAAACAACAAAAAAAACCCAACTCAAACTACTTAAAATAGGATATGTATATTTCCAACAAAACTAAATAAAACAATTAAAATGATGGGAAATGGTGCTATAGAAATTATTTGGAACAGCCTCAACGAGGCATGATGGCATGCATCTAGAGTTCCAGCTACTTGAGAGGCTAAGACAGGAAGACCACTTCAGCCCAGGAGCTCAAGGCCAGCCTGGGCAACACAATAAGACCCTGTCTCTTAAAAACAAAAAAATAAAAAACATTCTCACGCACCCCTGTAATCCAAGCACTTGGGCTGAGGCAAGAGAATCTTGAGTTCAAGGCTAGCCTGGTCTACACAGTGAGGCCCTGTCTCAAAACAAAACAAAACAAAACAAAAAAGCCCACAAAACACCAAAAAGTCTCAATTAGCTAGCTTATTCTGATCAATGTACAAAACATAAATTCACATCTCTTAAAATACATTAAATAATCAGAGGTCAAGATAATTACCAGAGATATCACATTCTCAGTAGCTCTCTTTTTCTTTGAAAGTGGAACCAAAGCCACTACTTGAGTTATGCTTCAATTTTCCCTTTTCTATTTCACCAAATTTGTTCTCAAAGTTATACTCAATCAAAATCTACTTGGCGTCATCATCACGAAGATGTAGCAAAAGAAGAGTCTGCCAAATTTTAATCAAGATTAGATCAATTAAGAGTTTAGTACAGTGAACTGTGCTCACTTGAAAGAAACCAGTATTTCCCACATATCTCTGAAATATGCGACACTGCATTTTCTCACAGAATACAGAAAATACTAGTGCAAGGAATACCAATCCAGAGGCATCGGTGGCCTGGTTTGGGTCAAGGTATGCATGTGTAAAAGTTCTTCAATATCCTCAAAAAAAAAAAAGAAAGCCAAGGAACGTTTGTTTCTCCTGAGAAGGATGGGAGTCTGCTAAGATCTTCAATGCTGGAGCTTCGAAGTGAAGATGGGCTGAGCTGTCCACACTCCTGGTTATCCAAGTCACTTCCATTTGAAGAACTAAGAACTGTGTGCTCTATGATGTATTCTTTGAGGGCTCAGGCTGACATCACAGCATCAGGGCGTATGCTATAGAGTAGCTAAAATCCGTAAAAAGGAGACCACCACCACACAGAAAGTCTGTCCAGTGCCCAAGGTGAGGGCTTCAAATGGTATCATCTCTTTCCCTGCTGCTCGGTAGACTCCAGCAATGGCTGCACCTGGTTCAAGATTCAGGGTGTTAAGGAAAAAAAAAATGAGGCTAATAAAATCATGAAAGTATAGGACTCAAAATTCCACTGTAAGTAGAATGCTCCAGATTGTTTACATTAAAGTTTAAAAATTATAGAAATGTTTCCCCTTTTCTTTCTGCTACTGATCGCTCTAGTTGTTTATATGGGTTGCAAATATGCTGAAATGTGTTTTTAGATGTGAAGCTTCCTAAAAATGAGAAGTCTCCTAGATGTATTATAAAATAATCTGGAAATAATAATCAAAATCACAAAGATAACAATTCCCACATGACCTGACTGTGAACTCAAAAGTATTTCTTTATTCCCACACCAGCTAACCCCAGGTCTCACTCTAAGAGATGCCTGATTAAATCCTTTTTTCCATTTGTATTAGGATATAAGAGAGCAGCAAATGGAAGGACATAAACTATGTGAAGAACTCTATATGCACACTATTTCATTTTCTCCTCATCCAGGGATGTGAGATGGGCAATGCTATTTGTATTTAACTGAGGAGAAAATGGAGCCCCATCATGGGCCACCCGTCCTGTGTGGATGCTGCAGCACAGGTCTCCCAACAGCGGCAGGCAAGCCAGGTAGAATACACAGAAACTAGGCCACAGTGCCTGGAAAAAAATTTGAGTCAAAAAGGCCAAGGGAGATTTTTGCTAGAAGCTCAAGGTTTGAATTCACAGTGAAACATGTTTTCAGTCCTGGGGCTGTTTGAGAACAGAAGGAGGAGGGAGAGGAAAAGCCAATGATAGAGTGAATAATACTGAAATGCATCAAATCTGTGTAGGAAACGCACTGAAGCTGTTCAGCGATGGGGGAAGGTTAAGGAAGAGTAACAGAGGAGTTAGGTAAAGTACAACGTATTCACAGGTGAACTGGCATGACAAAGTCCTTTTGAACAATGAACACACACCTAAATGTTGAAGGAGAGGATGTAAATCAGGTCGTGTTAAGGGGAGGGTGAATGGAGAGGGTGAAGGAGGGCGAATATGGTCGATATGTTTTATATACTGAATGAAGATGGAGCACTGAAACCTGTGGAAATCATTTTAAGTACGGGGAGGGGAAGTAGGAGGAAGATGGTGGGAGTGAACATAACCAAGGTACATGGCAAGCATATATGGAAATGTCACCGTGAAACTCCCTGGACAACTAATAGACATTAATAAAAATGTTTGAAAAAATAAAATAAATCCCCACACTGAAAAACATGAAGTGACAAATTAGGAATATTACATTTCTATGTGTTTTATAAATGTTTATGTTTACTTAAGAAAATATACAAAAATGCAGTGTGGTTATAACTTAATATAAATTGTAATTTTCAGATTTTCTTTATAATTTTTAACTTACATAAAATACACACATGTATGTAAGTATAAGCTCATATTTAAAATTATCATTCTCAGTCCTGTAATTGTGTCCTGTGACATGAGTCAAAAACTAAAAACCAAACATAAATAAGTAAATAAATAAATAAATAAATAAATTGTAATATCCACGTTAATCCAATTCCGATTTGAAAAGTCTGGTGTCCTGAGGACACCAAAACTCAAATCAAGAGCCCCACACTTGCTAAATTCTTATTTGCCAGGTGCCAGTGGCTCATGCCTGTAATCCTAGCTACTCAGGAAGCAGAGATCAGGAGGATAGAGGTTCAAAGTCAGCCTGGGCAAACAGTTCTCGAGACCCTATCTTGAAAAAACCTGAGTGGCTCAAGCAGTAAAAGCACCTGCTTACTAAGCATGAGCCCCTGAGTTCAAACCCTAGTGCTGCCAAAAAAAAAAAAAAAGGAATTCTTACTAGAATTAGTCTTATAAGAAGAATTCTTATTAGAATTAACATGAATGACAGAAGTAAAACCATTTTGCAATGCCATCAGTCAAGTGATAGCAGATTAGGTAGGAGCAATTGCTTCCAAAGAGACAAGTATTTTTCTTTTGCTAGTGAACTGTCTCACAAAACTCAACTTGTTTTCCTGAAGTCAGTGAAATGATCTGACTCAGGAAACCAAAGAGATTAGCCAAATAAAAGGGCCAGTGGCTCACGCCTATAATCCTAGCTACTCAGGAGGCAGAGATCCAGGAGGATCGTGGTTGAAGCCAGCTGGGGCAAATAGTTTGTGAGAACCTATCTTGAAAAAACCCATCACAAAAAAGGGCTGGTGGATTGGCTCAAGGTGTAGGCCCTGAGTACAAATCCCGTACTGAAAAAAAAAAAAACCTTTTTTATTCATTCCGCCCGTGTATTTTTTAAGTGAGTCCTGAAATTAACTGCCAAGGCACATTGAAGGTTTTGACTGGTATTTAATGTCTAACATACTTGTCAGGATGCCAGCAGCAACTGGTCCCACGATGCCCATCAACAGGATGCCTACAGACATGAACCTACCATATGTGTGATGTCTGAGAGTGACGAGGGCCAGCAATCCAGCGGGGACATGAAAGAAGAGCGAGGACACCAGTGCCCACAGGAACACGCCATACCACATCTCTGCAGAGAAGAGAAGGAAAGGCCCGGGTTACTGACCTCCCAGGGCAGGTGCTGCAGAGGGGCCTCATCACAGTGTTTTCGCCTTCAAAGCCACTTAGCTGCATTGTAGGTTCATCAGTCAGATAACCAAATATTGATGGTTTAAAAGTGTCAGCAAACCACCGATAGGTCACTGCTCTTTTCATACGTAAGGACTTATTTGCACCCATTTGGAGGGCTTGCGCACATAAAACTTTTGGACTCCTGCTTGTTCTTTTAAGTACTGTCTGCAACAGCTTCCCAACTACAAGAGCAAAGCTGGTAAGTCAGACACCACATGGCCTGTGGAACCTAACATACTAACTTTCTCACCTTCTACAGTAAAGTTGAGAAGCTACCTCTACCCTCAAACTGAAAAAGCTGTTCTAGATCTGTCAAGAGACCTAAATGATTCTCCGATCACATACAGCATGAGCCTAAGAACCAAAGGACAGGGTCCTATGCGACCAATACTCATTGCTCCCTTTTGCCTTTCTGATTATTCACACTTCTAAAATGGAAAAGAATACACTTAAAGACACTGCAGTAAACATCAAAATGTCACTGATTAAGGATATCAAACTCTTTTAAGATGTGAAATAAAATAAAAGCCGCACATGGTGGCTCCTGCCTATAATCCTAGTGTTCAGAAGGCTGATCAGGATTCAGGAATTCAAGGTCACCCTGGGCTGTATATGGACAGCCTCTCTCAAAAAAGTTATCTACTTGTGTGTGCATGTGCGTGCAGTGCTGGGGATTGAACTCAGAGCCTTGCACATGCTAGGCAAGTATTCTACCACTGAACTACATCCCAGCCTCACATTTATTAATTTTTTAAAGGAATTCGAGGTTGAGCATAGTAGTATACATCTGTAATCCCAGTATTCCAGAGGCTAAAGCAGGAGGATTATGAGTTTGAGGCCAGCCTGGGCTACATGCCAAGACCCAATCTCAAAAAAAAAAAAAAAAAGCTAAATACCTGAAAATATAACTGTTTGACTTGGAAGACAAATGGCAGGTAAGTGACAATGTAGATAGCCTGGTTCCTATGGAGACCCTCTACTCTTAAAATGACTAAAATTCAAATGGTAATTTTTTTTGTCTTTTCTCATGCTGGCATTGAACCCATGTCTGGCATATGCTGTACCACTGAGCTCTGAACACCACCACCAGCCAATGTTAAGGTACTTATTACCAACCGTACATAAAAACTACATATACCGCTGGGCACCAGTGACTCACACCTGTCATCCTTGATACTTGGGAGTATGAGATCAGGAGGATCATGGTTCAATACCAGCCCAGGCAAATAGTTTCAGAGACCCCCATCTCCACAATAATCAGAACAGAATGGACTGGAGGTGTGGTTCAAGCAGTAGAGTGCCCTCTTTGCAAGTGTAAAGCCCTGAGTTCAACCCCAGTCCCACCAAAAAAAAAAAAAAAAAAAAAAAAGCCCATATATTCACATGTATGAGTCCCCACAGAAAATGCAAAAAAAAAAAAAAAGAAGCCTGCACAGTAGCTCACCTGTAATCCTAGCTACTAGGGAGGTAGAGGATTGCAGTTTAAGGCCAGTCCCGGCAATAAAAAACTGGGCATGTTGTCAGCTACAAGGGAAGTGTAAAACAGAAGATCAGAGTCATGGGCATAAAAATCAAGACTTAATTGAAAAAATAAAGCTAGAAAGTGCTGGGGGTATGGCTCCAATAGTAGAGCACCTGCCAGGCAAGCATGAGACTTTGAATTCAGTCCCCAGTACTGCCAAAAAAAGAAAAGAAAAAGAAAAGAAAATGCAAAAAAGAAAACAAATTCATCCTGCCTGCCAGTAAATGGTAAATTCACAACCTGGAGAATGGCAGACACAGCACTTCTTCCAGTGAGTCCATGGCAAGGCTTAGGGTCCCTGAGACAGCTCCACAGCCATGGATGTGGACAGAATAAAGGTGACACACTAGATAGACCCCCCCCACACTCCAACCAGAGGCAGGTGAGCAGCTGGCAACCTCAGATCAGTGCACAGCTTAACTAACCAGGATTCTCCACAGCTCCAGAACATTTCCACTCATGACTTCGCCTTGTGGGGCCTGCTCTGTGTTGTAGGGCGTGAGGCAGCATTCCCTCCCCAGTTGTGACAACAGAAACACCTCCAGACACAGTCAATGTCCCAAAGGAGGAGGCAAAATTGCCCTGATTGAAAACAACTGCCTTAGCTGGGCATGGTGGTTCAGGTCTACAATCCCAGCACTTGGGAGGCTGAGGCAGGATTGCAAGTTCAAGCCCAACCTAGGCTATGTAGCCAGACCATGTCCCAAAACACACACACACACACACACACACACACACACACACACACACACACACAAAACAAAACCAACAACAAAAAAACCACTGGCTTAACCAAGGCAGAGGGTTTATAAGAGCAATGGGAGAGGCTGGGTATGGTGACACACAACTGTAATCCCAGCTACTTGGAAGATCAGAAGGATCAAAGTTCAAGGCCAACCCAGACAAAAGGTTAGCAAGACCCCCATCTCAACAGACAAGCCAGGTGTGGTGGGTCACACCTGTAATGCCAGCCACATGGGAGGTACAGGTAAGACAACTGCCATCCAGGGCTGGCCTGGGCAAAAAGTGTGATACTCTTGTGAAAAATAACTAAAGCCAAAAAGGCTGGGACCATGTGATAGAGCACTTGCCTGGTGAGCACAAGGCCCTGTGTTCAAACTCCAAAACAAAACAAAAAAACCAGTTAAAAGTTACGGAGATGGATGGGGTCATGTCATTATGGGAGGTGTATGTCCTCAGCATCCACACCTGGTGGCACTTCTTTAGGAGGTGGTAGAAACTTTAGGAGGTGGGAACTAGCTGGAAGAAGTGGGTCACTGGCAGTGGTTCCCTGGGGGCTGACTCTTGCCCTGGCCTCTTCCTAGCTCTCTCTGCTTTCTGTATGCCATGAGAAGAATATCTCTTGGCCATGACACAGGCCCAGAAACAAGGCAGCCAGCTGACCGCAGACTGTTTTGCAGCAGTGAGCCAGAAGAGATCCTTCTGCCCTCAACTTATTTAGTCAAGCATTTGTCACAGTGACCAGTCTGACTAATATCAGAGAACTCCGACATGCTAGCTCTGGAAGCACCATGGAAGGTTCTGAGCAGTGAAGAGTTGTCAGGATGCTATCCAGGAGGCCTGACCCAGTACGCCCAATCAGAACAAACAGGAAAACCACCTCTGGGAGGGTAATTTGGAAAACAAGTGTGCACAGCAACTTATCATGAATTCGGCCTCTTGGAACCCTCACAGAGGCCAGGGCAACGGTAACAGGAAGCTCCCAGCAGCACTATCTGTAACAGCAAAAACTGGAAGCCACCTGCATGGCTGTGGCTCAAGCCTCTAAACATGTTTTGGGTGTCCCCACACGGGACATTGGTCACATAGAGCAGGTGATATAGACCTAGATATACCAGTAAGAAGCCCAAGCCACCCTGTGAAACTGAAAGAGCAAGCTACAAGTAGTCATAAGGAATAAGATCCTGTTTTTGTAAAAACAAATGTGCATGTATAAATGCATCTAGGTATTCAGAGAAAAGTCTGGAAGTGTCTGTGTGTTTAGTAAATATTTCCCAAACACACAGGGACCCATCTGATCATGGATGAGAACTGGAAGCAACTCATGGCCTGCCCCCCGCCAGCCACAGCCTCACTTTCAATGCAGCCCCTTGGTATATATTCAGTTATAAAAAGTTGTTATTTCTGGGGAGTGGAGTTGACATAACTCACTTTTTACTTTGTTGGAAAAACAAAGCTGTTATTTAAAAGACAATATTTAAGAACATGGATCCACTGGGATGACACTGTTTGGGAGAGAAGTGAGCAGGGAGAGCCAGGGGCTTTTCTTATAGCCGTATTTGCAATGTAAGCATGTGGTACTGTAGCCATTGTGTGTGGACTTGCCCAGGTTAATTAAAACAAGAATTTTATAAACAACATCTTTATTCAGTTTACTCCACCTTCTTATTCTTGTTAAGTGGATGGGACTGGATTTGAGGAGTTGATGGAGATTGGGGGGAACCAAATTCCCCCAAGACACCATCCTGGCATTGTCACTGATAACTGCTCAAGTTCTTTACACTTTGTGAGCTAAATAAAACTTCAATCAATACCATATTTGGAATGTAACAAAATTAGAGGGTTTGGGTCTCATTTTGGATGCATGATTCTTTATGAAACTCAGAGATGTCCCATCTAGGGCTCAATGCTTGTTAAATATAACAAACAATGGGCACCAGCAGCTCATGTCTATAATCCTAGCTACTTGGGAGGCTGAGATTGTGAGGATCAAGGTTCCAGGCCAGTCCCAGCAAATAGTTTGCGAGACCCCCATCTCCAAAATAGCCAGAGCAAAATAGACTGGAGGAGTGGCTTGAGTGGTTAGTGTACTGCTTTGCAGGTGTAAGCCTTGAGTTCAAACCCCAGTCCAAAAAAAAACGGCTGAGAGTGTCTTGGCACTTTTGGTCTGGTGACTGTCAGATAGCTACAAAAGGCTTGAAGACATTTGTGAGATTTATTTTCTGCTGAACAAGACATATCTTCAGAATGTTAGAATTTTCTACTTTACGGTCTGTTTTATGTTTGATGACTTCTGTTAAAAACATGTTTAAATCATGTGATACAGAGTACATGTTTCAAGCTTAAAAACTGTTTTGTTTTTTTTTTTTTTCGGTTGTACTGTGGTTTGAATTCAGGGCCTTCACCTTGAGCCCTTTTTTTGTGAAGGGTTTTCGAGATAGGGTCTACAAACCATTTGCCTGGGTTGGCTCTGACCACCAGTCCTCCTGATCTCTGCCTTTCCTGATCTCAAGGATTACAGGCATGAGCCACTGGTGCCGGCTTGCATATTAATGTATAAGTGAACTAAAATATATACTATTACTACTACTACTTTTCTTCCACTAAAGGGGGGGAAAAGCAGCTTTGCAGTTAGT